TTTGTTAGGATGATTCCTAGGTATTTCAGTTTTTTGGATGCTATTGTGAAAGGAATTATTTGCCCTATTTCTCTCTCAGTGAGTCTGTCATTCGTCTACACCCCCAATTTAATAGTAAAGTTACCCTCCTGACAATTTTTTTTGGTCAGCATTTATTTATTTGTTTTTTCATTAAGTTTATTGGTACATTTTAGGTATACAATACAGTTACATTCATCATTGCCTCCTGACAAATTTACCAAACTTTTTCTTATCAAACAGGCAGGTCAATAGTCATTAACTCTTTTCTTATTGTCTTCTGACAGTTTTTTCTTTCAACCAGCCAGTGAGCCACAACACCTCAAGGTAGTTGGAGAGCACATAATTCCAAGGAGGTAGGGGCTACAGCCCCTTTCAGCAGGAAGTAACTATATGAAGACAGAGACCTCCACTCTCTCAGCACCACATAAAGAATTATGGGGATATGTGTCTCTCAGAGGAAAATGAGGCAGGAAATTAGGGTGTAGCAGACTGGCTGGAGAAGTAGGTATGCCCTGTTAATTACAAAGTCCCAGGATAAGTGTGCAGAAAGTTTCCAAAGCGTGCCGTGGAACCAGTCAGAAAATGTTGGCTTCAATTCTCATGAAAACTCCCAAGTTTTTGAAAAGATGGCCTAAACTTGACATCAGTTTGAGGAGTGGGAGATACAAAAGGACAGTTGTCATTGAGCACTCTGATACTGTGTTCTGTCTTTCACAGTAATCTGCTCTTATGCTGTACTAGGCTCTTTTCCTACCTTTAATAAATGTAACACCTCCCTACCTTAAAAAAAGAATGCAAAATACACAAGCACCCACAAAAATATAATCTAGTTCAAGAAGCCCTCAGGTATTCTAGAGAGCGTCAGGCACTGTGACAGATTTTGGGGAGGAGCTCTCAGTTATGGTCATAGTGTATTGTGATAACGAGACAAGTTAAGCATCAAGAAAACACATAGAGAGGTGCAGGAATTCAGAGTAGGACATGATGGGACCTTTTTAAAATTTATTTTTTTAATAAAAATAAGTACTACTCAGCCATAAA